TCCCTGGTCAGGGTGTACATCGAGATCTCTGTTGATGGGAGGGTGTTGAACCCTTTGATCCCGACGGGAGAGGCATCCCTGGAGTGTGAAGGCTCGGTGGAGCGGGAGCTGGAGGGGGTGCGTCGCTGGCAGCGGGAAAAAAAATGGGGATGCGGGTGATGGCGGAGGACTGGAGGTAGTCCGTGGCACGAGCGTTGGCACGCAGCTGTTTGTGCCGGTCTATGAACATGTGGACGGCCAGCACTCCCACCATCTCGGCTATAATGAAAGACAGGGCCCCAAAGTAGAAGGACCAGCCGTAGGAGTAGCTGTTCTTCTTGGAGTCACTCTTGGAGGGGTCTCCAGCGTTGGCTGATATGTATACGATGATGCCAATTATATTACTCAGACCTGCCAGCCCGCCGGCGGGAGAGAAGGAGGGAGACGTCAGGAGGGTCTGAGATATGAGGAGGGGGCATGGGGTTGAGCCATGCCTGCCCCAGGGAGGTGGGGATGGGAGAACCCTCAGCCACCCATCCACTCCCGGTGGGCAGCTTTTCTTAGGAAGCCCAGGCAAAGCCCTCCTTGAAAGAACCTGCCGCATCCTTCAATGCATTCCCAGCTGGTCCCTGGGAGACCCCTGGCACAGGGAAACGCCCTCTCTCCGGCAGCTCCCAAGCAGCAGGAAAGCCCCTGCCTGCAGGGTGCTGCTGCCTGCTTCTGCCAGGCGAGCAGGCAGGGCAGAGATGCATCCTTAGGGGGCTGCTTTCACCCAGAATAAGGCTCATCAGGGTTGGGAAACACATGCATCCCTGCCTAGGCAACTGTGACCCTGCAGGTTGCCCTGGCTGGGCAGCCCCTCCACCCCCCGGACCCCACCTCCGGGGTGTCAGGCCCTGTGCATCCCTTTACCTGCAGACACGAAGAAGATGCCGGCACTAAGGATGATGTTGTGTCGGGTTTTGTAGAACTCGCTGGCTGCAATGCAGAGTCCACCCATGAAAAGCAGAATCACACTCAGGATCGGGAAAATACTAGAGGCTCTAACAGCCCCTGCGGAGGAGAGAGGGAGGGGGGCAGAAAGAACAGCACAGGTGTGAGAGGGAGGAAAATGGGACACGGAAACGGCGCCGTGGCGAGGGGATGGGGGACACAAGCACGTTTCATGGGTGGGGGCGAAGGGGAGAGACAGAGGGCAACGTGCCGGGGAAAGAGGAGTAATTCAAGGAGGGATAAAGGCATGGGGGGACGGAGGGAGGGAGAGAGAAACAAAGTGTGTCAGAAGAAGAGAGCGGTCCGAAGCAGCTCTCCCATGCCCTGGCTGCTGCTGCGAAGCCAGTGGCCTGGCGCAGGGAGGTGGAGGGGGCCGTGGGACTGATGGTTGAGCTGGGAGTCTCCCTGTGCTGCCTGTTCCCTCTCACACTGTCTTTTCCTGTGCTTTCGGGGGGTGCTATGGGCTGGAGGGGGGGCGCAGCACCATCAAGCTTCTGCTGCAGGGCACTGCCGCTCGAGCCCGCTCTTCAACGAGCAGCAACCCAAATGCTTCCCGCACAGCTGCTCGATCTTGAATCCTCCCAAAAGGGCACGAGCATATCAAGGAGAGATTTTTTTTTTGTGGCGCTGGGAAGGAGCTCCCGGTGCCGTGCACTGCTCTGCGGCTGCAGTGAGGGCTGAGGAGCAAAAGTCCCAGCCCTGCACACCAAAACGTGGGGCTTATCCTAGTGATTAAACGACTGGGCTCTTTCCAGAGGGCAGTGATGGGTTCGGATGTGCCAGCTCCCACACACGCACGCTCTCCATCGGTCGATACGAGGAGAGCTCAGCCAGCAGAGGGCAACGGCACAGATGCACGTATATGCTCATACGGGCATGCCAAACATACCCCAAAGCTTCTGGGGGGAACTCTCTCGTATTCACACAGCAAGAGGCCAGGACCGTGTATCCGCACACCCACGCACACATGCACGCACACGCTGCTCGTGGGCTGTTCAGTGGGTACCAGCAGTCTGCCTGAGTTTGTATTCATATTTTCTTAACTAGGAAGACCTTCCGTCCTCCCTTCCCAAGAGAAAATAAGCTGTTAAGGTGTGAAATGAAGCCTTGCTTGATAAAGAAAGGTATCAGACGGGCTGATGCAATTCCGCTTGTGGAGCAAAGATCTGGAATAGGGGATGAAAGCTAATCCCTCCTTGTCTGCAAGAATGAACCCTACTGAAGCAAGCGCAGGGCTTCTTCCTAAGTGGGCAGAGGCTGTGCTTCAAAGACCCCGTTGGCATCAGGATTCAACCAGGCACAAGCAATCGGCTCTATGAGGGGGGCCCTAACCCACTGCCTGTGCATGGGGAATGCAAAAGGCAGGGAGAAACCTCTCTTGCTTGTTTTCCAGTTCTGCCTGGCTGTGTTTCAGGGAACAGGATAGTGATAATAACCATCTTAATAGCTTCTGGAAAGCAAGGCGGGATTTGACGATGTGAAGCATACATGGCAATAAGCAAACATCAAGCAGACATCGGCTGTTCGGAGGGTTCTAGAGGGAAGCTCAGTCAGTTGCTCAGCCTGGCCCTGACCATATCAGTTTTATCTGGGTCTTAGTTCTGAAATTCACGTCTGCTGGGGAAACACAAAGTTGCCAGCTGACATGGGGAGCTGCGGGCATTATGTGATGGGGGAAGGACAGCAGCCTTGCTCAGCCCCTGCCTTCTGACCCTCAGGAACACCATGCCAGCAAGAGAGGGACAGAATCTCATCCAGTCTGCCTGACTCCAGAGCCTTTGCTCTAAAGGGAAGGGAACTCATGGTGATGTTTGGATGCTCCCTTTTATCCTCTGTCTACTCTCTAACTTGAGTGACTTCTAGCAAAGAAATGCACTGATGCTTCTGCTTCCTCTTGACAACAGGCGTTTGATTTCAAAAAGCTTAAGACACCTTATGTGGAGAGCTGGCAGAAATAAAATCTAAGCCCTTCTAGCCAGGCCATGGACACTGCCCCACAATCATCCTGGTCTCCTGAATGAGGGAGTCACCTAGTCTGATACCAACAAACAGCTTCCTAGCTGTTCTTGCCAGTACTGCCAGGCATGGCCCATGCAGAGTGCCCAGGGACTCTGGTTTGGCAGAAGTCCTGGGAAGAAGCTGTTCAGTAGGGTCCCTCTCCAGTCAGGTCTACGTCACCAGAAATCCCACTTCCCTTCGGACTGACACAAGTAGTCCTTTATTAACTTGCCAAATGTCTCTTTGAACCTAGTTCTTTCTTAGAAAGGGTTCTACCATGGGGACACCATCAGGTCCTGATGTTAGGCCAGTTTTTGTCTTCAGATCTTGTTCCCTCTGAGGGAACAGACCCATCTTTCTTGAGATGCTTGCCACCTTCCCCCAGTTCTTCTTTCTGAAGCACAGCTGATGCTGCAAGCAGCTGCCTTGCTCCAAATATCCTTGCATGAACTGTTTTGCGCTCTGAAGCAGCCTGCACCGTTGCTGTGCCAAACGGGATCAAACCCCAGTCTTCAGCTCTGCCATTCGGGGTCCATGCAGCGATGTGGAGACCAATGCTGCAGGAAGGCATCCGAAAGAAGCAATCTCCCTGGGTTATTTACAGTTTACAGCGGATGAAGAAGTCTTTGAGAATCCAAGAGGAAGCAGCATAAGATCTGCCTCTTCTCACATACAACTGAGCCTCACAGAGCCTAAATTCTCTCTCTCAACCCTGCCGCAGGGCTGGGTCTCCACATCTGCCTTGGAGCATGCCCTGATGACAAAGAGCGATTCTGAAACACTCCTGGCCTTTGGAGACCTCCAATGCTTAACCTTGGGAGGTCAAAAGCTCTTATCTCAGATTTCTGAAGGGAGAAGATCTCTTCTCCTTTTGTCAAAAGGTGTTAGGCTTGTGAAGGGAGTGCGGGATAGCAAGGTGGGGACCTAAGTGGACTGATCCCTGTTGATCTGTGCCAAAAGAAAGAGCAAGGTCCTGCTTCTGGGGCAGGTGGAAATGCTGGCTTGTGATCAGGGAGGGCAACACATGATGTGGGTTTGCCCAGCTGGCCAGGCTGCCCTCCCTGTCCCCGTGCTCAAAGCCGTGCAACCTTCACCTGCACATCCCAGGCTGGACTGGGAGCTCAGGTGAGGTTCCTTATGGAGATGCCATGTGCCTGGAGAACAGCATGCCTCTGGGGGCTCTGGGTGAGTACCAGCTCCTTTCTTCAAGGGGCTCTGACTCTCCTTGTTCCTGCTTCCTGTTCCCATCACTAAAACCATTAAAAACAACAAAGTCAGCAAAGATCAGATCTGCAGCCTCTGTAGGCAACTGGTGTTTGGGGAAAGGTGAAGACAAAAATAGATGCTCCTTGGGCACAATCCAGTTAATTTCTTAAATCTGATGCAACTGGAGTATCAGGTAAGGAAATACAGACCTCCTCTGCTTTGGGAGGACACACACACACTCACGCACACTCAAACTGCCCCAGCTAGCCCAGTCCTGCCTCTATGCCCATTCATCAGCTCTCCAATGGATTTGAATGAAGACTCTGGATTTAGATAATAAGTAATTGCCATTAATAAAAGATCCCACTGGTTGGTACTATGTGTTTGGAATTTGCAGTCTCATGATCAGGGAGAGCCCCAGGGAGATGTGAGTAGAGCCATTTTTGGGGAGGGGTGAGGCTCTGGGATCGCCTCTTCTGGCTCGCTGAGCCTCACAGGTCCCAGTGTCTCCACCACTCTACCTTCAGAAAACAAAAGGCACCCGGCGCTAGCACCTACAAGCCATTGCAAGGAGAAGAGCCTCTGGACTTACGGAGGAAATATTCTGCTGTATCGGCTTCATAATCTGCATCCTCAGGGAAGTGATCGATTTGCTTACACAGACCTTTAAAATTCCCTAGGGAACAAGAGAAAAAAAAGAACAAATGAGAACACCAAAACCTGCCTCTCAGGAACAGCTGCCTTCTGCGTTGCCCTCTGTGCCCGCCCTGCCTTCCTCCCAGGCAGCATGCCCACTCATGTACGGATGCCCATTAAATGCCCAGGTACTGTCTTTGCACATGTATCTCCCTCTTATTTGCACAAGAACATGGGATTTATCACCTGGATCCAGCCTGACGCCCACCTAGCCCAGTGCCCCTTCTCAGTGGAGGAAAGCACCAGAGGCTTTGGCCACCTCTCAGGGAGCCAGGGAAGAGAAGCCAGAGAGTGGGTCATGCTGCGAAGCGTCAGGGTCCCTTCCCTCAGCACTGACTGATGTAACTGTGGGTGTTTGTTTCACCCAGCACGGCCTCGGTGGATCCCAGCAGTGCCGTGTACGGCGGGGTGATCAAGTTTGGGTGGAAAAGCATTTGTTTCTCTCAGCTGTGAATTTGCTGCCTATTCATTTCATGGACAGGATACATCCCGTTGGTCTGGTGCGGTACAAGAAGAACCAAGCTTAAAGGATTCCCGCTGAGTTTCTTCTCGAGGCCAAGCCTTTCTAGAGCAAGACTTGGGATGCTTTGGGAGGTAGTGCTGAGCAAATAGCTGTAGAAGGCAGGTAGGTGGGCTCTTCTAGGTCAGCCCCCAAGCTCAGCTCCTTCTGCATCCAGTTGGCTTGTGTCTAATGCTTCTGAGATACCTATTGCCTTTAACTACTAGTTCAAAGAGCTTCCATGAAGAGGCTGGGGAGAGCAGAGAGGAGTGTGTGTGCCTGTAAGAGGTAAGTAATAGGAGAAGAAAGTAGGAACAAAGCCTCTCCATGTATCTCTGAAGTGTTATTCCCACATTGAAACCATGGAGGTTATTAATCACCCTTCCCCAGTCCATTTTCCTCATGCAAGAATTGTCCGCTTCTCAGCCATGGCTCTTCTGGAAGGAAAGCTTCATAGCCAGGCAAATTCCCTTGCCACACTCCCACTCTGCCACCTGCCCACTTAAATACCTGTGAGGGAGGCAGGTACAGCATGAAGGGGATCCTTTCCTTTGGTTGCCCCTGACTGCCTGGGGCCATCTGTGACAGATGAGCAGCTCATCGCCCTGGTCCTTGGGCTGCAGTCACTGCTGTAATGGTGCATGTGAACACTGCCCCTCTCCAAGGCACCCAGAAATCTTCAGCCTCAGATTTCAGCTCCTTGCCCAGCAGATCCTGAACGCTGAATGCTTCTTGCCCGTACATGCTGGGGAGCAGGCAGAGCCTGCATACACCTCCCAGGCACACAGCTAGAACCTCCCAGTTGGAATCAGCCAGGGAGGAAAGAAGCGCTGCATCTGGAAACTGCCTCACTCTGTGCCTCCTTTCTCTGCTTCCTCTCTTCTTCCTCTCCTCCGCTCTGTGTCTTGCTGTATTTGAGCGTGATCAATTCCTACGTGAGGAATCAAGCTGCTTGAGAAAGATGCTACAACTTGTGCAGGATGTCTTTTATATGGATTTGTGTGGGATAGCTAGTTTCTGCCACCTAGGCAGGATGAGGGGACGTGGCAGGCTCTTTGAAAATCTGCTGCTGGTGCTTAGTGTCCAAAAGGCCTTGCTGATTTGGCTCAGATGGGTGCTTGCCCACTGGGGCGTCCATCCTTGACTTGCTTAAAACGCTGAGGAGCATTGAGGAGCTGCCCTTGACCGCAAGCTGATACGCTGCACCAGGCTGATCCCCCTCCCGTACTCAACCCTGCCGGGGTTCATGAGAGCAGGGTGGGCAGTGCTGGTCCCACTTCAGCCCCTGCTTTGTCTCTGCTCAGCACAGAACGCGTGACTCTGGATGCTGACTGTGCTACCACACCCTCTCCTCCAATGCCTCCTAGCTCCTCTGGGCGATGGACGGGGAAAGGATGCAGAATTTAGGTCATTAATGCGCTAACTGGGAATAAGATTCAGAAGAACAAGATTCGGTTTTCGCTCTGCCACAGGCATGCTGTGAAAACCACTCCTTCCCTCTGCCTCGGAGTCCCACCCTGTAAAACGGGGGGGCAACAGCACTCCTCTGCCTCATGCCGTACAGAGACGGCACGGTGTGGGTGTACTGGTGCCCGCGGCTGTGCGAGTGCACGGAGTAGGTGAACAATGGATGGATGGCGGTGGGTCGGAAACCCGCTCGGTGCAGAGAAGGCCTCGATGTCAACTTCTTGTGCCAAGGTCACTCGGCAGGTCTCTGCTGGACATCTGCAGCCCGATGAGATGGTGCAGCAGCCTCCCTGGCACCTGCGCTGGTGGAAGCGCTGGGGCCATACACCGGGAGGGGATGGAGCAGCTCAGCAGTGCTGCTGAGGTCTGACACAACAGCCTTTTCCCATGCTGTATGTGAGGTTTGCAGAGCTGGGGAGGGAAGAGCCATGTGCCAGCCTGTAGTTAATACTCCCGAGCAAAGAGCAAGAGCGAACCATTATTTGGGAGGACATGTACGGCTGTCTGGCTTCTGCATGCCTCTCGGAGAAACTTCAGCCACGCGCTTCCACCTCCTCTTTGCAGCTATCCCCGTGCACTTCAGTCTCTCCCCTCATCCTCTTCCTTGTGCTCACCCACCAGATCTCCCTCCCGTTTCTCAGTTTCTCCCATTCATCACACCACCTCCCTCTCCCTGATGTAGCCATGTGGGCAGCCTTCGAGCAGCCTGCTTTGGGATGTGCAGGCTGCAAAGGAGGCGAGGAGGAGCTCTGGCTTGTCTCAGGACAGAAAGGCTCTGTCTGTGGAAAATCATGGAGCACAGTCCCCCGAGTGTTATTAGGGAATTCTTAGGTGAGATCCCCACCGTTTTCTTGTTGCCTGCCCAAGATTTGAAAATGCAGTTTGGAGGAGCTAGGACTGGTACAACAGGCATCCCGTCGCTTCCTGGATGGGGATAGAAGTTGCCCAGCCGGGACATTAAGAGACAACCTGCCATAATGCCAAGAGGGACCAAATGTCTAAAAGATGCATGAAAATCAGTGTTAACTGCACGTTCAGCCCGCAGAGGGACCTCCTCTGGTGTAGCTGGGTCATCGTTTGGGTACATGCTGTCTATCCAGGACAGCTGGCAGCCGTCAGCTCTGCTGCAGCGAGAGTCAGACCGAGGTACCCCGATGAGAACCTGGCTCAGTATTGTTGGTGATACGGTATATTTTTGTGCCCTTTTGTGCAGCCTTGTCTCTTTCAGAAGTCTCGCTTGCCTGCAGAGTGCAATCCGTCGCAAAATAGTAAGTTCCAAAGAATGAAAAGCTACTCCCTTCCTGCGGGGTAGGAACACTTTCAAATGGTCAGAACTGTACATCTGAAAACTTGGAGCCAGAGGCAGAGGAAAAGACGTCCAAAAGGAGAGAAGCAGACAAAGAGGGATGAGAACAGAAAGACCTGTTTTCCCAGAATGATTTGTGATATTTCCATTTATGGAAAAAAGCAATCCACTGAAAGCTTTCCTTCAGTCTCACTCTCTAATTCAGCAGAGGTTTTGGCATGATGGCTTCTAGAGAAATAAATAAAGGGGGCTGGATATAGCTGCTGTCTCTAAAAGCTCAGAAAGATGGCTTGATGTTGGCCAGGGATTCAGTACCTCTTTCTGCTACACATTCCCTGTATCATTCTAGGCAAGTCACTTAACCCTCCCACTTCTTTCGCTCAGAATGGGAATAACGGTATTTCCCTGCCTCAGGGAAATAGCCTGAGGATATTTATATTAAAAATATGCAAATGATCAGACACTGGATCTTTTGGGCCAGACAATTCTTCCCCCCTTCCATTTCAAATGTAATGTGCTCATCTTTGACATGACCTTCTCCCAGATAAACGCAAAGGTTGCACACATGTGAAAGGTCTTCCAATTTCACTTGTAATTCCTGGATCTTCGTTGCAGATTAAACTAATATTTGCTCTCCTCCTATGAAAGAAATGTGAGAAACTGCACATGAAGGGCGGGTGGTCAGACACAAACACAAGCACTTCTTTCTGCCTAGGGGCTGTCTTTCTGAGCAGGATCCTTTTGGTACCAGGTGGTGAAGTGGGGCTCAGAGCCAGCCTCTGGGCTGGGAAGACAAATTCCACAGCTATGTGGCAAACTGCTGGCGTGTCTTTCTTACACGTATTGGCAAACGGCTTCCAAGCCAGGAGATGAGGTCTGCTGTCCCTGTCAAAAAATGACACTAGTGACACTGAGTTGTTAATGCCCAACCTGACATGACTTTGAGAGGAAGGAGTAAGGTATCACGGAGCGCCAAGGGAAGCACAGAAAAAACCCTGCAAAGGCATTTTGATTGTTCTCCACCCTTCCAGGAATGAAGCATTCGAGAGCACTCATCATTCTGGGGGATTTGGAGCTGATGAAGAGCACAGTGGCAGGGAGCACAGATAATGCTTGCGGGCATCTGCCTTTACCCACCTGTGCTGACGTGCCCAAAAGAAAGGCTGGCTTCTCAAAAGTGCTCATTATCCCTCTCGGGGAATCTTTCCACTGATAGCACCTTACAAAAAATCAGGCCATCTCCTCACATGCCCCAGTACACATTTAAAGGCCTTGGTTACAGGGTGTAGGGTTAGACCGACAAATGTAGCCACTATGACACAAGGGATTGTCATTTGGGGGCTTGAGCAGGGTCTGCTCTAGCAGCTCTGACCCTGCACAGCAGCAGGTGATGCTGTGCTGGTGGCAATCCCTTTTGGCTCAGGCATGCAATTTTAAGACCAAAGAGTCCACAGCTCTCCTTAGGGACAGAAGAACTTTCCACTACAAGGTGAATCTCAGGGGGGTCTGCGTGGTGAGCCTGGGACATAGCAGTGATCCCATAGGAACAAAGGACCATCAGAGATCTCGCCACCTTCCCGTGTAAATGCAATGAGCCTGCTTTGATGTGGTCTTCTCCAACATAAACATGCAGCACTGCATATGTTAAAAAAACCCAAACAAAACGCTACCAACATAACCAGTACGTTGCATACATAATTCTCTCCCT